AAAAAAAAAAAAGACGGCTTCGATGACTGCACATCAGTTTGTTCTGATGCCAGGCATAATTTCTATTTCAAAGAAACTTCTCGAACGAAAGGTGAGTTCAATTTTTAATTGATTTCACTCTTGATTATATTTAGCAAAGTAGTCTTTCTATAGGAACAAACAGATTTTAAGACGCACCTTCCAGCATGGGATAGTTATCAAATAACTTAAAAAGATAACTGCACCATTATATGCAACTTTAACGTAATGCACTTGAAAACAATGCTATGCAACAAATTGAACAATCATGATGCCAGAGATATCACTTGCTTAGGCACCTGAAATTCCATCTGAATTGGAGGCCGAGTCCACGACTTCTTCTCGGTCATTGTTGATATTAGCTCTACTTCAGCACTCAATGTTGGTTCAGTTTGTCCAGGAAATTTTCTTATCCTGGCAAAGCAAGCACCATTTCCATGATCAAACTTATTAATAGATATGGATAGTAACTTAACAAATCACTCCAAGCCTATCTTAATTCACGTCTGGTAACAAATATTAGCAAAACTTTATGCTCAATTAAGCACAACTAGTAATAGAAGATGTTGATTAAACAAATATTAGAAAATTCTGTTTCTACATCTATCAATGTTGGTCATCTGTGGTTCTGCAGAGAAATTACAGAAACCATGTACGGCTTCTGTCCTCCATGACTGCAACTAAATTACAGTAGACATCACAGTTCGTTCCAAGTCTCAAACCGCCTAAATACGCTACTACAAATGGAAATAAACTGTGTGGCACTAGTATCCACACACCTGACTAGGACAACATGAATAAAAGCAATGGACGAGCCCTACTCATATTCCAAAGGCGGCCAGCTTCGTTTTTCAAAAACCAAACCCCTCTTTCTATCTTGTAGTAGTCTTCTTCTTTAGCACATAGCTACGCTGAAGCTCAAACCAATTTGTGCCTCGTGCCATTTTGTATTACTATGAAATACCAAATTCCGAAGACTGATCATGAATGTGTGTTCATTTCGTAAGATATTTTGCCTTCTTTTTCTTGAACTTCATCAATAAAATACTAAATCCTACCAGTCTGATGCTATTTATAAAATTATTATGTGAGAAGTAGACAACATAAAATTATTGGCAAATGTACACGTGACCAAAAAAAAAAAAACCGATGCTCACGTATTGAAGACCATGTGCCAAATGGATGCCATATCACAAAATAGATATCATCATTGGGGTTTTCCCTATAACCAAACAGAATTGTGTACAGAATAAGTGAATTAAGTCAGAAGGAGGTCACAACTTATTTTGCCTTCAGTATCACGTTTGAATATTGTCTCAGTGAAACTTCCAGTCAAAATTCCAGAGACATGCCTAGTTTGCTCGGAGATTTAGAATAATGCGTACAATGGCAATTTGCTAAATGTCATACTTATTCACATTATAGCACATATGCTTCAAATTCATATTCCAATGAGAGAATAAGCATAAAACGTTCATGTGCCAAATAAATAACTTACTTCCAAACCAAACAGTCAATAGAAGGACTGTACTTTGCTCGGCCTGATGTCACCTGGAAACTTGTTTTTGCTGTTTGCTTGGGTACTGGAATCTTAACCACCACACCAAGTGCAAACATTTTTGCCCCAAAAACACTCTTCACCTAAAATGTAAGGAATATGAGTCAGGAAAGTGGCTAGTAGTGGCCAACAAATAAAACAAAAAATTGATGTCTAACCTTTACATTCACTTCCATTCGTGTTCGGCCCAATTCCTTGATAGTCGGAAGAACCCGAAATGGAAGATTAACCCCCTCTGTAATACGATACCTGTAGTAAAAGCCTTAACAGTTAATAAAGCAAGTGGAAATCAAGAGTAACCTGTTTGCTACAAAGAAAGAGAACAATTATGAAGAAAATTAAGGAGTCTATAAATATAATAATAACTTAACGGGAACTCTTTTTGTTCTCCAGATTGAGTATTATTTTCAAGACCTGGAGGTTACACAAGCAATAAGCTTGTTAGAGACACTAAACAATAGCGCACAAAAAACTCCTAGATATTAGACTAATTTTTATCCCCAACCCAACCCAACCCAACCTAACAATTAAAAACTATTTCTCTCATATACCTAAACAACTCAATATCTTTCAACCACATTTATCTTTATCCCCAACCCAACTCAACCTAAATATTTATTTTATTTTAATTTATTTAAAAATTACAATTGTGTTCTAAAATATATCAAGTGTGATCTCTATTTGTAGAGCATGAAAAAATACAAATTTTAGTATTTTTTTATTTTTTTTAGAAACAAAAGAAACACACTTGTCCAATTAAAATGGGACAAGTATCCCATTTTTGCACAGAAACCGGTCGCGACCCGAGGTCAAAATGTGACCTGGGCCGCAGCAAGTGGTGACCTTCTCCTTTTTTTTATTTTTTTTTTTTCTTTGTCTTATTCCCGTGACCCAATGAATGGGTCACGGATAAAAATGGCCTTAGAAATGGCATTTTAAGATTATTTACATCGTGGCAGTACTTGTTAGCCAAAAGATTCCTAGTTAGGGGATGTTAGAACTATTAAAGTAACCAGTGAAAAATATTTCCTGTGATCCTAAATATGATCTACTTAAATTAATATCAACTTTCATTCAACATATTTGAAAATCGAAGTAGAATTGAAGTCATTGTCATAGGGTAAAGAAAAAGAATACGAAAAGTCGAAAACAAGGTAAAGCTATGTACTGAACATAAAGTGAAAATGTGACAGCAGAGTAAATTCAAATTAGCTTACTTCATCAATTCAAATTCACCATCAGGAGGAACAAAGCTGACAGTCTTCTCTGAATTGAATCTTGTAAGGTTTACACATTGATGAAAAGTGACATCATCAAGCTCAATAGTTTTCCCACTGAGAAAATAAAACATACAGAAACAAGGTCATGAAGTAATATATACTTCTTGAAAAGTCCATTCATTAAATGGACTTGTGGAAGTGCTCCCAAACAAGCACAAATTAACTGGACAACTTCCCTAACAAATGCATTTTCTTCACAACACATCTTATCATCGACAGGCGACAATATAATAATAAATTATAATGTAAATTGTTGATATGATGGTTCATTCTTACAATAACTGGATGTGACTAGTAACTGGAAAGTCGTGAGAGGATAGTATATCATCTTAAAATTTCAAAATACAATATGTTAAAGGGAGAAAAATTTAGAAAACTCAATAAAAATAAATCTATCATAAGCAATCAAACACTATCTATACCGCCAGGCAAGGCTCTGGACAGTGCACATGCAAATCAAGAGAACTGTTACATGAGATACGTCTTGTCCACGAAGTCCACATGCATAAATTTACAATTAGTAAACTTGGCTTCTGTTCTTCTTCTCAGCTAGGTACAACTATATGCTACATTTGGCATGTCATTTCATTAAAATTTATTTCTTTCCATCCAGTTTGTGAGTTGTAATCTATGCAACTAGCGTATGAAATTCTAGTTACCTCTTAGCAGGACGAGATTTAAGTTGAGACTCTTTCTCAAGCCCGATTTTATCATTTAATCCCAACTTCAAGTCAGGCATGCCAGAAAGGAAGCATTTCATAAGGATCTTCCCAGTTACATCGCAGCGTAGAACACTACCTACATAAGGAAAATGGCAAATAGACAAAAGACTTTGAGATGACTCATCAAGATAAATACACAACAAATTTGTCAGAAAATGGTAACAGATTAATAATAATAATAATAATAATAATAATAATAATAATAATACTTTCATTTTAATAATAATAAGCAAATACTTTAACGAAAATGATTCAGTTTACCTTTCGAAGACATGAGAAGATTGACACTTTCCACAATATCAAGAAAGACCTAACAAGAACTCAAATTTAGTTTCACCTTACTGCAGTAAAAAAAGATATTAGACAGTAATGAGGTTATCAGAATATACAACCTCATTTTTCTTATACACGAGGCCTTCCCTGCGCCATCCAACAGCACCAGTAACTTGTAAAGTTGCATTTGGAACTGGTTTGTCAGCAGCCTGTTCCGGCATCACATATGACAAAGGTCAGGGTAATCCACCCACGAGAAATTATTTAATAATTGTACTTTTGTATATATATGCACCATATGCATCTTCCACATAAATATTTCCATAACTATAGAAGATCACAATAGTCTTTATAGTCCAACCTTCGATGAAAATGGAGAGCGTACACCTTCCTGAGTTATGTAAAGCTTCAAGATTTCGGGGGAGAGGTTTTGAGGGTACCCAAAATCCATGATTTCTGTATGTGAGGAAAAAATTAGAAACATTTTTCCAGCCATTCAGTCATTTTGGCTCAATGATTATGTTAAATACTTCTGAATTGTAACAGCCCCCAACTCCAGGAGTGGTGCAAGTCCCCAAAACCAAGTGAAACAAATCAAGCTCCCGAGCACAGTAACATTGGCTAATTCAAATAAGCAGACCTTTAAATTGTTTACATTTTCTATACCAATAAAACATAGGACATCCACTCCACCCCCAAAGAAAAGCAGTAGCTGGAAACTTTTATTTCATTTTTCATGGCAATAAGCTATCCATTTGAATTAGAGGCCATATTTTGACAACACGTAGAATGTGGTGAATATAGGACTTATATAATGGGAAATGAATTGCAAACAAGAGAATATCTCCACTTGCCGTACCGTCCAACAGTTCATATATCAAAACAAAGTTATTTCGTATAGCATCCTCATCAAAAGCTCCACCAAAATAAGATTTAAATAATGTGACTGCCTGCAAAAGAATAAGATTAACATGTCAAATACATTGAAAGCAACATCTACAAAAATAATCTGAATCGCATTATCATCAGTCACAAAAGGTGACACAAAACACATGGTGTCAGATTTTGGTAATAGCTAACATTATGGGTATTTACACAATTAGAACCTAATAAATGAACTGTCAGAGGCTACTTATCATAAGTTGTATTCAGTATTCACTATTTCCTTAGACAAAAATACATTCTATGCAAAATGAAATCTCGAGAAAAAAAAAAAAAAAACTTCGCGAGTTAATTGTAGGCCATAAAGGCAGAATTCTAAATCATCTTATGTGTGAGATACCTCAACAACAAACTTGAAGGCACAAGCAACATTCGCATTGCTGCTAACAACAATTACAATGTAAACATTGCTGATTCTCATGTAAAAGAAAGAGCAGCCCCCAATTTGCCGCACAGGACAAGTGCCGAGTTCCTTTGTTTGCATTATATGCACTCGGAAAGCATCCACCATGTTGCCTCTGCTTATCCAGATTGAGAATGGATTAGAAATCAGCCTTACAACATTAGATTGCTGATATGCAGTAAAATTTCTGATAAACTTAAACATAATAATAAGCAACAGTTAAGAAATTTAAAAAAAATATATAAAATAAACAGTAATCACATTAAGAGGTCAAAGGCATTCAAATAAATTACCACAGACTTAGTTATCTATGGGTTATACATACATTGGGTCCACACCGACCCGACCAACCAAAAGTTTTATTGTCCAAATATCGTTAGTAATCACCAAATTTATTTATTCACTTCAGTTCGATTGCTGAATGAACATTTTTTGGTGTTCAATTTGTTCCCAGTCGAACGAACTTAAGAAAACAGAAAGAAATGAAATTCTTTTGAATATGATATCCAAATATGATATCCACAATCTACTGGGAACAAATATGATAACTCCACAATCCAAATAAAAAACCAAAATCTAAAACAAATATGATATCCACAAGTCTACTATCAAAGCCATCTAGTTCCATAATACCAACTACAAAGTGCGATGTGACACCTAAAGATTTGGAAAATGCTACTTTAAGTCTTAAAGTGCAAAGACCAAATTAGCAAAAGAATGCGCCGTGAGACCAAAAAGAGAGAAAAAATCTTGACTTGCACACTTCAGATTGGAAACAAGTAACTCGAGAAAAAAAAAAAAAA